GGACTTACTGGCCCACGACCTGTCCTGGGAGCCCTGCTGATCACACTCCACGAGGGGCAGTGGCTGCCCGGAAATCGGAGAGTAGTGGCTGCCCGGAAATGTGGTGTTCACTGCCGGTGAAGTTGTTTACTGAGATGAAATTCACATCACGTAAAAGTACCCATTAGATTTGGTACCTTCACAATGTCGTGCAACCTCATTGTTATTTAGTTCCAGAGTACCTTCACCACCCCAAAGGAGACCCCTGCGTTAAGCATCATGCCCCTCTGCCCCAGCCCCTGGCAACCACCAGTCTACTCTGTCTGTGGGTTTGCTTGTTTTGCACGTTTCATGTAAGTGGATGGTAGGAGAGCTATGGGGTCTTTTTGGCTTCTGTCAGCACAGTGTGATCAGGCCCACTACGTCATTCCATGTATCAGACACGGACCATGTCCTACCACGCTGCCCTGTGGCTCCCTTTTCTCTCATTTTGTAAATGAAGTGCATATTCCCAGGGCACCACAGACAGTCCACGTTCGTAGGACTGGGGGCAGTGGGAATCTGCATGTTTAGACTATGTGTGACTTGTAGGGACAGTGACAAGGCCTCAGATCACGTGGGGGAAGCATCATGAGTGCTCACACCCTAAACTCACTCATGTCAATCCCATCCCAGTGCCCGCACGGCAGCCCTCACTGACAACCCTGACGACAGCAGACAGCCTGAGAGGGCTGGGGCTACAGGGTTTGTAGATGGGAGGACAGGTATGGCATGCCTTTGGGGCCAACACAGTGCAAGTGACAGTCACCCGCATGGATGCTGAAGGCAGTGGTCCTCCCTTCTCACGCCTCTGTGTCCTTGCTTTTCTTCTTTTTTTTAATCGACTTTGTTTTTTAGAGTGGATTTAGGAAAGGTGCTGAAAATAGTTCCACGTATCAAACTGAACTACCACCCCCCCCACTACACACACACACACACACACAGGTGCACTGTTGTCACTTCCATTCCTGGAGTGTGTGTTACTACGGATCACTCAGTATCGCTGTGTTATTATTAACTAAGTGGCCCTGGTGGCTCACCAGTGAAGTGCTCATCTGCTAACTGAAAGGCTGGCACTTTGAACACACCCGGTGGCTCTGTGGGAGAAATACCCAGCAATGTGTTTCTGTAAAGATTAAAACCAAAAACCAAACCCGCTGCCGTCGAGTCAGACCGACTCACAGCAACCCCTCCTTGGGCTTCCGAGCCGGTATCACTACAGAAGTAGGTTGCCCACCCTTCCTTCCGGGGAGTGGCTGGTGGGTTTGAACCGCCAGTCTTCTGGTTAGAAGTCAAGTGCTTTGTTGTTGTTATGTGTCGTCAAGGTGGACCTGACTCATAGTGACCCCTCCTTGGGTTTTCCAGGCAGTATCACTATGGAAGTAGATTGCCCAACCTTCTTTCCATGGAGTGGCTGGTGGGTTTGAACCGCCAGCCTTCTGGTTAGCAGTCAGATGCCTTAGGCGTTGTGCCCCCAGAGCTCCCCTGTAAAGATTACAGCCAAGAAAACACTAGGGGGCAGTTCCACTTTGTCATGGAGTCACTGTGAGTCAGGATCGACTCAAAGACACCCAACAACACCACAGTTTCCATTTGGCTTCATTCTTTGTGTTGCACACTCGGTGGGTTTTGACAAATGCATGTCACGTGTGCACCACGACAGGGTCCTACGGAATGGTGTCACTGCCCTAAGAAGGCCCCATGCTCCACCTGCCCACACTGCCCCACGCCCTGGCAACCACCGCCCTGTTCACTGTGTCTGCGGCGTTGCTGTCTCCAGAATGTGCTGTAGTTGGAATCCTGCCGCCTTCTCAGCTGGCTTCTTTCACTTAGCAGGTCCCTCCATGTCTCTCTGTGACTTGAGAGCGTGTTTCTTTTTATTGCTGATTAACACTCCATTGTATGGATGGACTACAGTTTGTTTATCCATCACCCATTGAAGGGCATCTCAGTTGCTTCCAAGTTTTGACAGTTATGAAGTAGGTGCTAGAAACATTCACTTTTATGTGGACACACGTTTTCAACTCATTTGGGCAAATATCTGAATTGCTGGGTCATATGGCCAGCCTCTGTTTAGCTTGTGAGGAACTGCCAACTCCCTTCCAGTGGCTGCACCATTTTGCATCCCCATCAACAACAGATGAGAGTTCCTGTTGCTCCGTGTCTTTGTGAGCATTTGATGATATCAGTGTGCTGGGTTTTAGTCATTTGTTCTCTTGTGGTTGGAACCCTGTGGGTTGGAGCCTACTCGATGGCTTCTAACAACAGCTGCAGTAGGTGTGTGGTGGTATCTCATTGTTGTAAGTGTCCTTTGTGTATCTTGGATGCAAGTCCTGTATCAGAAATGTGCTTTGCATGTATTTGCTCCCAGCCTGTAGCTTGCCTTTTCATGTTCTGTCTTTATTTTTAATGTTTGATTGGGTTTGGGGTGAGAGTTTACACGGCACTTTAGGTTCCTATTTAACAATTGCTACGCACGTTATTCAGAGACATTGGTTACATTTTGCACAGGGTGTCACCGTTCTCATTAATTTAGTCTGGTGGTTCTGTTTCCAGTGTTCTCGTTTCAGGGTCACTGTTGACCAGTCTCATATAGGTGATTGTTTTGAAGGCGTGCAGTACTCAGGGGTTGTATTCTTTGTTTTACGAGCCATTCTGTTATTTGACTAAAGATGACCTTGGGATAATTTCAGCGCAGGGTTTACAGAGGATCTCAGACCAGTAGTCTCAGAGTCATCCAGTCTCTTCTGGTCTAGTAAGTCTGAATTTTTTAAGAATTTGACTCTGTTCCACATTTTCCTCCCATTCTGTTGGGATCCATCCACTGTGGCCTGAGCAGAATGGTTGCTGGTAGCAGGGCACCATCTAGTCCTTCTGGTCTCAGGGAAGATGAGGCTGTGGTTCATGTCAACTATTAGTCTCATAGACTAGTTCCTTCTCTGAATCATTGTTTCCTTTTTCCTCTTTTGTTCTCACAAACACAGACCAATAGTTGTGTTGTAGATGCCCACTCACAGCCTTCTTTTTCTTTTTTTAAATTTTTATTGTGATTTGGGTGAAAGTTTCCAGAGCCAATTCATTTTCCATACAGTACTTCATACACATTTTGTCTGATGACATTGATAGCAATTCCCCACAATATAATAGCTCTCTTCCCACTTCCTCCCTATGGTTACCTTTTCCCCATGTCCTTCCCTCCCATGCACTCCCATCCTTGTGCAAAGCTGTCTCCCTGTGCAAACACTGCTCTTCTCTTTTCCCATGATAGACTGATTGCTCCAAGGAGTGTATCTATCTGATGTAAATGTTCACCCCATATGCCTGTCTATTGTTTGGCTGGAAGCCACAGGAGTGAGTTCAGTTCCAGGCCTGAAGGTTAACTAGGGACCATAGTCTCGGGGTCTCACCAGGCTCTAGTAAGCCTGGTCTTCTTTATGATTTTGAGTTTTGTTCCACATCATTCTTGCACTCTATCCAGGATCTCCTGCACTGATCCCTTTCTGAGTGGTTGGCAGTGGTAGCTGGGCACAATCTAGTCCCTCTGGTCTCATGGTCGTATGGGCCCACTCACAAGCTTTTAAGACCACAGAC